TTTTTCAATTTTCTTTTATTAATATATTAAAAAAAATTTTCATTTTATAATTTGAATTATATTAGATTTATCTAATATGTACGTTAAAAGTATAAGTCAATGGTATAATTAATTAGTATTAAACATATCAAAAATTGACATTAATTTTATCATTAATGTTATATGTATTGTTTTAATTGGATGGTTGATTAAATAAATGTTAAATTTTATTTTTTCAATAACAATTAATATTAAAAAATTATTCTTAACCTAATTCAAAAATAGAGATAATTAAATATGAAGGGGACTCTTAATATAAGAACACTTACTCTTTATTTAATAATAAACATTGTGCAGTCTAATATAATTTGAATTATACAACATTTTTTTATCAAATATGTTATGACATTTAATTACAATTATTAAATATATGTTAATTTTATCACATTTATGATATTATGGAACATCTTTGCGTTAAATATCTTGGTTTTTTTCCTTTCTTTAAATATATTAGGTACAATAAATAATCTGCAAGCATTCTCAATTTCAAATTTTAGATGGATAACTATTCATAAGAAACCAGGTCGTACGGTATATATATCAATGAATGATATTTAACAGGTCAGGTTGCTGTGCGGTCTCACCCATCGACCCACAACCACAAGTTCCAAGATGATTGGCTTTGACCAATCAATGTTGCTCATAGGACCAATCAATTTTGTTCAAAGGGCAAGCAAATGAGGCCCTTGAACTCGTTTGATTATGACACCGCCGTATGAAATCACACCATAAAATGCAGAATGAATTTGCCTATTGCAAACTACTATTTCTGGAAAGTGGAAACCAATCTTCCAAAATCCCATTCCCTTTCGGCTTTTTCAAGAAGAACAAGTAAATTCTACTTCTGAAACCCTTTCTTTCCTTCAGAGGCCAGATATTACTTCGTCATTTTCATACGTAGCCATGGAATTAGATGCTACGTCATTTTCTGCAAGCTAGTTGGCAGAAAGAAACCTCGTCACCAACCCAACCAGCAAACTTATAATGCTTGTGTCATTGTTGATGATTGTTGTTTCACTGTTTGGTTAGCTATTCTCGTGTAAAAACTTTTGCCAGGCTGACGATTATTTTGTCAATTTAATTTATTGTTATCCCTAAGCTTTTAGAAATAATCAATTCTACAAGAAAATAAAAATATGATTGGTTATTTTATAGAATAAAAAAAATGGTTATCTAGTGGACCTGAAAAATATTACGTTAAAAAACTCTAATTTATTAAATTTGTATTGAAAAATATTAAAATAATTTATATTTTAAAACAAAAATGATATTATTTTAATTTTTTATAATATTTTATTAAAATAATTATTTTTCCAATTTAATTTTTTATAAATCTGGCTAACAGTAAACGACAGAAAGAAACCTCGTCACCAACCCAACCAGCAAACTAATATTTGTGTAATTGTG